GAAGGTTCTTTTTGTGAGGGTTCCTTTACATTTATTTGCAGCCATTGTGTTTGCACTGTTTTAACAGGCAGGTACAATGGAGTGGTGTGTTTTGCGTTTGGGAATGTTTTATTTAGGGGCTCCAGAATTCTCTGTAAAACAGATAATGAAGACATGAAGCATCTAGCAATGTTTGCTATAGGAAGTTTTATTTCATTCATTGGTGTATACGTTTTAAGGACCAGACTAATAGGGCATGTTATGAACGACAAACTAAGCCCAGTAAAACAATAATGCAAACCTGATAAAGCTATGTATATACTGGCAGAAGTTTAAAGATTCAGAATTTCCACTCTTTGAAGTAAACTCCTGTAAAATTTTAAATGGCATATTTTTCCATCATAAGTCAGATCATTCTTGTGGCACCAGCATAATATTAGCAGTCCATTATTTGTTTATAATAAGCATTTAAAAATTTGAACTCTAAAGTTGGAAGACGGCAAAAACGAGAGAGTAAAAACCTTGTACATAGCCAGTTTATTGCTTTAAAATTATTGACTCAGCTGTTTTCATTTGTGAAAGATTTACGAATTGTTCTAAGCAGCGTAAATCAAAACCTTGGCTAATCATGAATGAATGGAGACTGGTGTCCAAAGCACACAATGTAGGCTTCAAATGGGGGGTTTTGTTGTTGTTTAGATTGTTCTCTTTAATATGTAAAGAAGCATAAAAGGATAGTAAGAAAAAGGGCTTAAGAACTTGGAAAGGATCCATCTTTCTTTTTTGTCAAAACTGCTTCAGACCTTTTTCCTCCCATAGCTACTAAACCTTAATTGTTTGTTTTCTGTAACAATTCATCTTTTTTAGCATGACCCCCTTCATTCTCTCCTAATGTGTCAGACATTTCTGAGAGTTTGTTAATACAAATATGTAACTTAAATTCTTTTCCATTGTTCTGGATAATTTACTGTATTTCAATTTCCAAGTCAGCATGAAGAAAGGCAAAAAAGTAGAAAATTATGTATTAGCAACTCTTTTCTGGTTTTTATCTGTACTTTTGTCTTCTGTTTGTAAACAGCTTTCTTGTTTTAATCCTTGACTTGCAATTGCATCCTTCCCTCTCCCTCCCCCCAAAGAAGAACTGTAACAAAACCCTCTGTTTTCCACTTAAATATAGTGTTGCCTTGTACGTTGCATTTCATGTTTATGAAATGAATCTTTATTTAGAAACAAACTGCTGCTCAACTGAGGTACAATTAACTTCCCCATCATTCCACAAATTGGTAAAGGAAGGGATTAGTGCCTGTTGCAGCAATGTCTTTGGATTTTTAGCTGCACCATTGTTTGTGCTACAAACTTGATTATATTCTGAGTCAATGTGTGACTCGGGTTTCTTGGTTGGTTGTACAACTTGGACTGCTTCTACTGCTCAGAAGTACCAGAAATAAAAATTTAGTTGAAACGATATACAATGATTGCTACTTACAGATGTGCATTGATTTACTTGGGATTTTTTACAGTGGTTTTATTGAGGTATCCATTTTCTAGGTCTAGTAATGCTAGGTCTATGCTCTGGCGTTGGGTGAAATCCAGCTTTCCTGAAGTCGATAGGATTTTTGGCTTTTGCTTTTTGGTAGGATCAGAATTTCACATTAATATGTTCACAATACTCAAATTACATGCTTAGCAAAGAATCTGGTAGTACTAATTTTCTGTAACTGTATATAACAAAATCTACAGAAGATTTACAGCTAAACAACTAAAACTTGTTCATACTTACAACTGGAATGAGTTAGTTTCTGCTCTAGTCCAGAGTCCTTTTTAATTCTTTCCAAGTTTCCAAAGTCTACAAAATGCCACAAAAGTGAGTTTTATACTTTACTTGTCAAACTTTTCTCAGGCTGAGAGAGTTTTGTCTATTCACAGTTGTATGTGAATGGTAGATGTACGTAGAATTCACAAATAGCTTAAAATTAGACTTGCAAGTAAGAATAACTTTAAAACTTACCAAGAAAAAAAAACTTCTAGCTGTTTTGCTTCTGTGGTAGATGGAAAATCCAGAGGCCAAGTTGCTGCTTCTTCCTATATTACCCGATGCTGTGGATTGTTAATCTGCAGTTGGAGTTGAAAACTGCTTTTGTCTTTCTCTGTTAGATCCAAGCTGTATTGAGGAATTGGGTTTCTCCATACAATAACCAAGCTAACTAATCATTAAAAAAAAAAAAAAAAGTACTGTTCCGGTATGTATTATTCCAGCAGAGAGAAAGAAATGTTTTTTGAAAGTGCAGTGTTTTATTCTCACATGCAGAATTGCACTAACCAGCTACAGCTGACCCAGATTCCATATACATCACTCTTGGACAGTTTTTTTTAAACAAACACACACTCGACTTAGACGTTCAGCCCACCTATGATGTCATCGTGAACACACTGAGAGCAGAAGAAACTCCTCCTTCGGATTTCCTATCCATACCCTCCAGAAAAGGAGGGGGTAGGGAGGCTGAGAAGTTATGAACAAGGAAAGATTGTTTGCCAGTAGAAGGGAGGGTACCATATG